GCCAGACCATCCTCCCTCCAGGCACCCGCACCTCCTGGTCTTTGAATAAAGTCTGAGTGGGCGGCAGCCTGTGTGTGTCTGGGCTCTTTGTGTCTCTGTGTCCTTGTGTCTGCAAAACTGCCAGCGGTAGGGGTGGTTCGCCTTGTCAGACCAAGTACCTCTCTGCAGCTGCCTCAGAGGCAGGGACAGCACAGCTCCAGGGAAGGTGCTGAACCAGGCACTTGTCATGGGAGGTGCCAGACTTCCCAAGGGTTTCTCTCAGGAGAAAGAGATGAGGAGTTCTAGAATCACACTCTTCTTTGAAATCTCCCTGACAGATCCCAGTTAAACATGCAATCTATCAGTTGGTTACAGCCCAGTCTTTAACACGAAGGTCACAGGTTCCAATCTCCATACTGGCCAGCCACCATTAAAAAGAAAAAAAAGATCAAAACAAAGGAAAAAAAAAAAAAAAATGGGCTACTCCCGATGCAAATAAAGGTGCCAGAAAATTTCTGGTTCTCACCCCCATTCCTACTAGAGGGTAGGTGGGTGGGAGCAAGTGACCTGGCCCCACCTGCCCTTCCTCTGTCACAGTAATCCTGAGAGCAGGCCAGCACGTTGGGGAGGAGAGGAGGGTGAGCTGGCAACAGCAGATAAGGAGCACTGGGGAGGCTCGTTAGCAGAGTACCTTGCTCCCTGGTTCCTGCACCTCATGAGGCACATTAACAGCTTACTCTGTGCCGAACCCTGGTCCCCCCGGCTCATTGCCCTCCATTCTCCGGCCCTGAGTCCTCTGGAATCTCTAGTGGCAGAAGCCTCCCGTGCTGTGAAAAGCCTCCCGTCCCAGGTGCTGAAGTCCCAAACTCCACACAGGGATCCTGCACACCCCACCTGGCACCCCAAGCCTAGGAACATGCTCAGCACTTCCAGCCCTGCCTGGACCCTCAGAGCAAGCTTGAACACGCAGTGCTGGATAAAATTTTGGGGAGGGCAAAAGGCCCCTGTTCACCACTTTCTTTCCGGACGTTGGCCTTTCTGAACTGCTGGGGAGTTCCCTCCTCCTCTCCTCTATCCATTCTCCCTCTGCCTCAAGACCAACCTATTATTATTTAAATGTAGAGAAACACATCAGAAACAAATTAAAATCCACCCAGGCTTTCACACACACAAACATCCTTTATTATGTTTTTAAGGTGGGGAGAGAGAATACCTCTGTCCAGTCTCCCCAACCCCCCACAGAAAAAGCCAAAGTGAACAGTTTGGGATAGAGCCCACCGATTCCCATCCTGGGCTGACGGACACAGCGACATCTACAACTACTGCCGTGTGCACTGTTCCTGGACACAAATATCATCCTATTGTAGATACTTGTCTGCAACTTGCTCTCTTCACTGCGTGTGTCACCTCTTCATCCCTTCCAATCAGTTCATTCAGCTGTCTCATTTCACAGTTTTATTGATCATTTCCATATTTCTGTTAATTTCCTAAGATCCTTTGTCAATTGCTCTCATAAGTCATTTGCCTTTTCCTCATTTATATGTGGGAGTTCTTTCCATATTAAGAGTAAGCCACTGCCTGAGATACGTTTTCTAAGTCTTGCCTTAAAAGGGCTGAGGTACCAGAGAGATGGGAGTAAGATGCAGAGGAGTGGCTTGTCCCAGGCCTGAGGGGTGTTTTTGCTGCCTCTAAGACCCCAGTGTCTTATCCTTTTTGTCCCTCAGAGGCAGGATCAGGCCTGGGGCTGTGGATAGAATCAGGAAGAAAGTGGAAGCAGGAAGGCAGATGAGAAGAACACACCGCAGCAGCACTGCTGATGCTGGCCTGGGCCACTGCCTTCTCTGCCCAAGGCAATCTGACCCTCACTTCCTCCTGGACAGGAGGGCAGGTCTGAGTAAGGGTCCGGGAGGAGGGATGGAGCAGAGGGGTGAGCTGAAAGATGCCCACCCAACTCACTTCCACCAGCAAGGTCTTCCACCAGGTCCCCAGGACAGGACATAGCAATGACTTCTCAGCCCCTCTGCTTCCCAGTGCCCTTTCCCCACCAACTAGCCCAGGGACCATCACTGTCACCAGCAGGGGGACTGCACCAGCTGGCACTCTCACTGCTTCCTGCTGCTTCACCAGAATTCCTCACTCTGCAGGATCTGGCCAGCCTCTACACCCCACATCTCCCCACCTCCGTTATGCAGCCACAGGGGCCCCGTGTCTCCCATCCGTCCCCCTTCCAAGCCAAGCCTCCACCATACTCCACCTAACACTTATCCTTAAGTCTCACCTCTTCCGGGAAGCCCACCCTGATCCTCAGACTAGCCCAGGTCCTTGAACGCCTCGTCCACTCCCTCCGGCCTTCCTTGGGCCTCTAACGAGGTTTGCAACTGCCGGTGAATTTGTGTGACAGTCCGATGGTTGCCTACATCCCTAAGGAGGCCGGGTGCTGCAGTGTGTTCAGCCTGCTGCGTGTTTATCAATTTAACACTATTTACCTAGCAAGTCTTGTGTCAGGCACAATTTAGAAAGCTGCAGGTGTCACTGTGAATCAGGACCACGCAGACAGTGAGGAAGAGTCAGTCAAACAAGAGTAGCCCCCCACTGTGAGTCTATGACCTAAGGCTGCAGCCAGTTCTGCGCCTGCGTGTTTGCTCTTTCCCCGCGTCTGTCACTCAGCCACACCAGTGATTACTTGTGTTAGAAGAGGGGCTGGAGAGCCGAGGCCGAGCGCGCGGGGGACTCCTGGGCGCTGCAGCGCAGCCTCTCTCTGCCATTCTTCCCTCACTCACGGGCGCATTCACTCGCTTACTCGTCGACTCCGCTCAAGTCACTTCATGTTCAGCGCTCAGCTGCGCCAGGCCAGGGCCAGGGTGGCCGGAGCGGGCCGACTCAGCCCCTACCGGTCCCCAAAATCACGCGGCCTGGAGCTGGGCACGTCCTCAAACTCCTGCAGGGACAGAGCCAGCCGCCACCCCTGGGGAGGAGACACCTTGGCGCCGCGGCACCCGGTCCCTCACCTGGTGGAAGCCAAACGCCACCGCCCCAGCCTCGCGGGGATCCCGCGCCGNCGTGCCCGCCGCGCTCGGGCCGATAAGGGCGGGCGGGGCGTTGGGGGTGCCTCTTTAAGGAGCCGGGGTGGCCCCCAGAGCAGTCGCGCCGGCACCTGCCCTCCTCGCGCAGGTCTGGGACCTGATCGCTGGGCACGAGGCGCACTTCGAGGCGAAGCTCCTGCTCAGGTGCCACCCCTCACCGCCCCGCTTCCGTGGGCGCTTCACCGTGTACTCCCGCACCAAGACCTACTTCCCGCGCCGGAGCGCCTACCGGAACAAGGGGCGCTGCTGAGCCCCGCCGGTGCATGCTGGAGGCCACGGGCGTGGCCACGCGGAGGTGGCCGTGGCCTGCGGCACGTGTACGACCCGTGCGCGGCTCTGAGCCGGGCAGCTGACCTGCACTCGCGCGTGCTGCGCGTGGACCCCTCCAACTTCCCCGTGAGCGCTACCAGGCCGGGTGAAGGGTCCAGCGCGTAGCCCTGGAATTTCGGGGAGGAGTTGGCAAGGGCAGACCCCCCCTCTCACCGGCCCTTTCTCCTGCAGCTGCTAATCCAGTGTTTCCAGATGGTGCAGGGCGAGTACACAGTGGAGATGCAGGCGGCCTGGGACAAGTTCCTGACGGGCGTGGCCGTGGTGCTGACCGAGAAGTACTACTGAGACCTGCACCCTGCAGGCCTTGGTCTGTGCATATTAATAAACAGAGGCCTCAAAAGTCTGACCTTGAGCGTGCGTGTGTAGTCTCTGGGAGCGGGCAAGGTGACATTACTGTTGCTGGCCAGAGAAGCTCGGGGTCCCACGGGAAGCCTCCCAGAACTCTCAAATGCCCACCCAAAGGTTTGCCCTCCTGTACTTGGAGAGTGCGGTGGGGCTAGGGGGCACTGGAGTCCGCCACCTGCGCAGTGACATGCCGCTCTCAAAACACATCTGTATTCTGTTATTCATCCATCCTCCCTCCATCCCCGCTTCGTGCTTGGACCTGCAGATGGGAGTCCTTGCCTCTTTTGCAGACAGGTGCTTAACCGAGGCCCTGGGGCCTAGCGTGTGGCCTGAGGCCAAGCAGAGTTGGGAACCCAGGGCTCCTCAGATCCTCAGTTTTGTTCCTTTCTGCTTCCTCCCTCCCTAGTAGCTTTCTCTGCAGCAAACCTGGCCCCGAGCCAGGTTAGCACCTTTCTCTGAACGTCATGAAATGGGGCGTGGGAGTGGGGAGGAAGTGCTCAGGGGTCACATTTGGCAGGCAGAGCAGTTTTCAAACCCAGTTCACGCTGACAAACTGTGTGATCCTGGGCAAGTCCCTGAGCTCTCTGAGCCTCACCCATCGGACTGAGAAACAACCCAAATTCACCAGGTCTTTGAAATAATTTTTGAGATTGTAAGCAGGATCAGTGCCTGACAGGCTCATGGCCACTCAACCCCCAACTCTGCAAGTTCCCAGGCCAAGGCAGAGCCTCCCCTAAGTCCCATCTCCCCACTCACAAGGCAAGAATCTTAGGGCTCACCCCAGCCTTTATGGGCAAAGAACTGGGGCTGAGGAGGGAGCAGGACCCTGGAGCTCTCCATACCCTGTATGAGGTTTCCAGGCTGAAAATCCCCGGTCTGTGTAGGGAGCACTGGGCGGGCCCCACAGTCACTACCCAGGTTCAAAGAGGGATGCTAGAAGTAGGGCCCGGAACGCATCGCTATCAAACTCCCCCAGCAGTCGGTGCCAGGGACCAGTTACCTGGTGCTGCCTGGGAGCATCGTCCCACCAGTGAGGGGAGGAGAACTTGGAGAACCTGACTCCATGTTATCTTCCTCATCCCCTTTGTTTACATAGACAGTTAACAGTTCTCAGTCCAGGCAAAGTTTGGTGCAAAAGCAGCTTATGTTTTACTTCTGAAAAGATTGTGCTCCCCTCCCCAGCCTGGCAAATAAACACTCCAAAGTTGCCCTGGGTCTGGCTCAAAAACCTGTGTAGAAGCCCTGGAACCACTAAAGGGAACAGGTTACAGCATAGAGAGCTGGATCTCTGCCTGAGCAGTACTGAGAAATGGAGGGCGGCCTTGGCCACCCAACCCCTGCCCACTCCCTCCCCTCCTCGCTTTCCCAGCAGGGCACCTCCTGACACCCTGCCAGCCAACGAGCAAGCGTGGCTTGCCTGGGCGTGACCCCGCACCCAAACATAAAAGCTCCATATTCTCTAAGCCCGGCACACTTCTGGTCCCCAAAGACTCAGAAAGAACCCACCATGGTGCTGTCTCCTGCTGACAAGACCAACGTCAAGGCCATCTGGGGCAAAGCTGGTGACCATGTCACCGATTATGGCGCGGAGGCCCTGGAGAGGTGAGGACTCTCCTCTCCCCTGCTTGGACCTGGGGCTCAACATCCACCCCAGGGACCCGCCAACGACTACTCGGAGGGCTCCGACCGGCCCACTCCCAGATCCCCCAGGTCTCAGGCCCGCACCGTAGACTGGTGCCCGGGAAGACTGGCAAGCGCCTCAGTCGCAGTCAGAGCTCGAGGCTGGCCACCCCGCCCTGGATCCCCCACCCCTCCCCGCTGCTCAACCACCGCTTCTCCCCACAGGATGTTCCTGTCCTTTCCCACCACCAAGACCTACTTCCCCCACTTCGACCTGAGCCACGGCTCCAAACAGGTCAAGGAGCATGGCAAGAAGGTGGCCAATGCGCTGACCAATGCCGTGGCTCACTTGGACGACCTGGCCGGTGCCCTGTCTGCTCTGAGCGACCTGCACGCACAGAAGCTGCGGGTGGACCCCGTCAACTTCAAGGTGAACATGCGGGCCAGGCTGGGAGGGACCTGGGTGGGGCATGAGGACGCAGACAATCCCTCGGGTTCCAGGGGAGGAGCGTGGGCGGTTGGCTGCAGTTCCTATCCCCCTGATATCCCCTCTCCCTGCAGCTCCTGAGCCACTGCGTGGTGGTGACCCTGGCCAGCCACCATCCTGAAGCACTCACCTCCTCGGGTTCCAGGGGAGGAGCGTGGGCGGCTGGCTGCAGTTCCTATCCCCCTGATATCCCCTCTCCTTGCAGCTCCTGAGCCACTGCGTGGTGGTGACCCTGGCCAGCCACCATCCTGAAGCACTCACCCCTGAAGTCCACGCCTCCCTGGACAAGTTCCTGGCCTCTGTGAGCACCGTGCTGACCTCCAAATACCGTTAGGCTGGAGCCTCAGCGACCCCCACCCCCAACCTGCTTGGCCTCCGTGCCAGACCATCCTCCCTCCAGGCACCCGCACCTCCTGGTCTTTGAATAAAGTCTGAGTGGGTGGCAGCCTGTGTGTGTTTGGGTTTCTGTGAAGGTGCCAGGTTTGGGGATTGGCAGAGTCTGGGGCACATATCCCTTGTCTAGGACCAAAGACCTCTCTACACCCGCGAGGGAAGGAAAGGGAAATGGAGGGGAGTGTAGCCACCCCAAGGCCACTGGACAACCCTACACCCTGGAGTGCTTGGCTGCCTTCATCTGGCCCCTCCTGCATTTCTTTGAGGGGGCTTGCAGATTCAACCCGGGTTTGCTGAATAATGAATTCATTTCCTGTCTTTACATTTCAAGGCACAGGCAAACACAATGCTAAGAATTGGCTGGTTTCCAGTCTGGCTCCTACCAGAAGTAGGCAGTCGGGAGGTCAGGGAGGCCACACTCCTGAGTTGCACTGAACCCCCCTCCTTCCCTCCACTAGTCTTTCTAAAGCCTCCCAAATACATCCAATCTGGATGAACTCGGGGGTAAGCTGTGTGAATGCAGACATCAGACAACTCTCTGGACCGCCCCTTCCACTCTGACATGGCACTACCCCAGTATGTCATTCTTCATACACCCATGTCAGTGGGTCACTGGGGTCAGGAGGCCCAGTCTTTGGGCTCAACCCAGCACCATGCAGTCATCCTGAGGCTGACAACCCTGCCCCAGTGGGACAGTGGAGAGCCAGGGCCAGAGAGCCTGGACACCCCACACCATGTGTTTCCCTCCTGCAGAGCAGGCCCCCAGTGCCTGTGGCATCAGAGGGATGGCTTGGGGTGCCCGGCCCTAGCAGCCATTGGCCCCAGCTCTTGACCGGGCCCAAAGATCATCCTTATAAAATGCTTATGGCAGGCCCTCTGCCTCAATTTGTGATGCCCTTAGCACAGTCGGTGACACAATATGAGCTGTTAGTAAGAAGCCTCTTCATTATTTTATTAGGAATAATGGAGGCCTGAGCTAAAGGTGGAAACACATTACTTGACATCAGTGGATGAATGGGTGACAACATGTGGTGTATACATACAATGGAACATTATTCAGCCATGATAAGTTGTAGCTGAACCTTGAAGACATGTTGCTAAGTGAAAGAAGGTGGACTTGAAAGACCACATACTGCACAATCCTATTTATATGAAATATCTAGGATAAGAGACATAAACGCAAATTAGTGGTTGCCAGGGGGTGGAGGAGGGGGTTTAGGGAGTTACTGCTAATGGGTACAGAGTTTCTGTTCACTATAAACTAAAGAGTGCAATGGGTGCACGACATCGTGAATGTATGTAATGTCACTGAACTGTACACTTTTAAATGGCTAAAATGGTCATTTATTTATGTGAATTTTACCACAATTTTTTTTAAAAAAGGTGTATGTGGTCCCTGCACAGAGTGCGTGCTGCGTGGGTGTTTGGTGTTATTATCGGGATGTACCCTATGCACTCAGCGTTCTTTATCTTGAAAGGAACGTCTACTATAGGCCGGGCACCTGCCATTTGCTGTCCGTTTGATTCTCACACAGCAACCCGAGAAGGAATTGCCATCCTCATTTTATGCAATAATGAGAAAACAGGCTCAGGGAGGTGTCATACTACGAGTACATATCAAATATTACTTTCCATACAGTAAACACTTAAAAGGGGGGTCTCGGGGTCGGGCTCTTCAGAGGGTCCCAGGTCGGAGAACCTCCGCACGAAGCTCCGCGACCGGAGGGGGCGGCGCGACGGCCGCGTGGCGCCCCCTGGAGGTCCGCGGGGACCCAGCGGCCGGCCCGCGCAGGCGCAGCCGGGGCGCTAGGATGGCGCTGCCCGCTGCGGACCGGGCGCTGGTGCGCGCGCTGTGGAGGAAGCTGGGCAGCAACGTGGGCGTGTACGCGACCGAGGCCCTGGAGAGGTGCGGGCGAGGCCGTGCGCCCCCAGCCCACCTGCCGCTCCGCCCCCGCGGGAACGCCGCCCGGACGCGCTCACGCTCCGTTCCCCCCGCAGGACCTTCCTGTCCTTCCCCTCCACCAAGACCTACTTCCCGCATCTGGACCTGAGCCCCGGCTCCGCGCAGGTGAAGGCACACGGCCAGAAGGTGGCCGATGCGCTGACCCTCGCGGTCGAGCGCCTGGACGACCTGCCCGGAGCCCTGTCCGCGCTGAGCGACCTGCACGCGTACGAGCTGCGTGTGGACCCCGCCCACTTCAAGGTGAGTTGTCACCGGGGCAGAGAACCCCATCGGGGCAGGATGTGTGGGGGGCACGGAGGGACCCAGCGCGGGGACGACCCCCTCTCTCCGCAGCTCCTGGGCCACTGTCTGGTGGTGACCCTCGCCCGGCACTTCCCCGGGGACTTCAGCCCCGCCATGCAGGCCTCGCTGGACAAGTTCCTGAGTCATGTGTTCTCGGCGCTGTCCTCCAAGTATCGCTAAACCGGGGGCGGGTGGTCGCGGGACCCCGGGCGCCCCCTCCCGCGAGTTCCCAGCGTTTGAGTAAAGTCCACCAGGCTCCCGGCTGCAGGTGCGCGTCTCTCTGGGGCATGACGCGGGTAGGGAGGCGTGGGGTCTGGGACAGCCAGAGTCGCACACCCCCCAGCTGTGGGGTCCGGGCGCGCCCTCCCGCCCCCGTCCCCGTCCCGTGTCCGTTGGACACATGGGGCAACGAGGGGAGGGTCAGGCCGCCCCTGCCCCTGGCGGAGTTTGAGGCATCGGGCCCCAAATTCCATATCGTGACGCGCGATACACCATACCCTTGGCCTTGACCACTTCGGGATGCAGACCTGCGGCTTTGGCCCCGCAGGAGCGGGGTGGCAGGTAAGGGGTCACAGTTTGCCCCAGGTGGCAGGGTTGCCGGGGCTGCCATGGTTCCCGGCCCGGTCCCTCCCCGGGGCTCCCTCTGGTCCAGGTACGTTGGGTCTGAGTCACCCACCTGGAGCCGAAGACCGGATGGGGGGCGGGTCCGGGAAGCGGGCGGCACAGCCTCCGAGGTAGGGAGAAGCGCCCCCTGCCGGCACGGGTCGGAACCGCAGAGCGGTGGCTCTGGAGGGGGACTGGGGACTTCAGGTACCGGGAGGCTTCTGGTCCAGCCCCAGTACCCAGTAACGTAGCAGACAAGGTGGACCAGGGAGCCGGCCCAGAACCTTCCCTTATTCCCATAGCTGTTCGGAAAGGGAAGCTAGAGCTTTTTTTTTCTTGTTTTTCCTCATAAAGTCGATCGCAGTCACTGCAGAAACTTGGAAAACAATTCCTCCACTTACTGCACCTTCTTGTGTATCCCAGGCCCTGGAATGGGTCCAGCACATCCACTGTTCCTCCAGTTCCCACTTGACACATGGCAAACGGTGTGTCTGTGAACAAGCGGGGATATGGGAGTCAGGTCCAAGAACACACACACGACACACACACACATCACACGTGGGCAGACCCAGGCCCCACGCAGACACAGACCACTTAATGTACAGCCTTTCAGGTTCTTCTAGGCACATTCAGAGATATTTTTCTTAAGAAATGATATCCTCAAAGTGACATTGGGAGAAAGTGGACAGACCTGACTATATACAGAGAAAAAAAATCAGTATGGGGAGCATGATGGTTAATTTTGTGTGTCAGCTTGACTGGGCTCAGGGATGCCCAGGTAGCTGGTAAACTATGTTTTCTGGGTGTTCCTGGGAGGGTGCTTCTGGAAAGATTCACATTTGAATTGGTAGACTGAGTAAAGAAAATGGCCCTCACCAATGCAGGGTCGGGAGGGCGGGGAGTTCCGTGAGGGCCTGAATAATACGAAAAGGTGCAGGAAGGCCAATTTGTTCTCCCTGCTTGGGCTGGAAAGTCTACTTCCTCTTGCCCTTAGACACTGGTGCTTCTGGTTGTCAGGACTTCCAACTTGGACCAGGACATCTGCCATTGGCTCCCCTGGTCCTTGGGCTTTTGAGTTTGGATTGGAACTACACCACTGGCTTTTCTGGGCCTCCAGCTTGCAGAGAACAGATTGTGGGGCTTCTCAGCCTCTGTGATTATGTGAGCCAATCCCTCATAGTAAATCTTTCTATATATCTATTGGTTCTGTTTCTCCAGAGAACCTGGACTAATACAGGGAGGAGAAAAAAACAGATAAGCAAAATTAAAAGAGGAACTTGGAGAAAAACATTTGCTACATTAGGCAGATAAAAGTTACCTCTACTATACAGATGGATCTCCAAATTAGTTTTCTTCTGGCCCCTCACCCTTTTTTTTTTTTTAAGTCAGCCAACCTAATAGAAAAATAAGCCACAGGATCCACAGGCAACTCACAGTATACCACTGACATAGACATTTGCAACGATGTTCAAAGCCATGCAAATTAAAATGCTGATTAACAATAAAATGTCTGTCATAAAAAAATTTTAAAAAGGCAACATCCAATACACTTCTGGTGGAAGTGTATATACAACCTTTTGGGAGGGTAATTCAGTCGTATACGGTTATGGGGTGGTCGATGTTTAACAACTGGCACTCGAAAAGGTGGGGGAAAAGATGATCTGTAGCATTTGCCAATCTCCATGTTGTAAATAATATCATGATGGTTGATTTCAAGCTATCAATGTGATGTCACTGAACAGGGAATTAGGAAGAGATGCATAGTGGCCACCTTTGTACTGTATTTCCACGGTCCAGATACAAGGGCCATAAACATAGATAACAGTGTAGAAAACAGTAATTTAATTAGGAAGCTGTGAGTATTTATTACTTTTTTTTTTTTTTTTGACCGGTAAGGGGATCGCAACCCTCAGTACAGTGTGGTCTGCACCACGCTCAGTCAGTGAGCACACCGGTCATCCCTATATAGGATCCGAACCCGCGGCGGGAGCGCCACTGTGCTCCCAGTGCCGCACTCTCCTGAGTGCGTCGGTCATCTTTTAAAAAAAATAAATAATAAGTGGAATTTCTGGGTATTAAATGGTGTGCTCTTTTGGATAACGTTGCCAAACAGCCTTCATCAGTTTCGCCAGCAGGAATGCGTGGCTGGCAGCTAGCATTTATCTTGTTACTAGTGAAGATGAACACTGTTGGCTCGTCTCTACGTGTCATTTCTGCCTTCCCTGTGTGACTTGCCCACCTGTGTCCTCCTCCTGTATCCCACTGTGGTGGTCTTCATCAGACAGATCTGTGAAAGTTCTTTTTCTGTAGACTTGTAGAAAACCTTCGGTCCATCTTACATGTTGCAGTTCGTTGCCCATTTTTATTTTTTGAGGTGATCCTTCCTCCAGGTGTACAGCTCCCTGCCAACTTTAACCCTCTCTTCCTTCAGGACCGTTACTGGCTCCAGGACTTTGCTCTGGGCCACCATTTCCTGGGAGGAGGAGCTACAGTTTCATTTCTGGATAACAAATACTAGATAAAAAATTTTACATCTTAAAAGCATTAAAGAGCTAACAAGATAAGAAATTTTCAGGCCAAAATCCAAGTAAAGGGAAGAAACTCTGATTGGTGATAATAGCACCTAAACTATTTGGCCTGAGGCATTTGTCAAAGCTGGCAAACTTGAGCTGGGACTTTCTTGACCTCATGGGCTATATAGGGTCAAAGGGCAGCCTAAGGTGCTGTGCCTAAGGTAAGGGAAACAGGAGCAGGAGCAAACGGCTAGAAAGCCACGTGGGATGCTCAGGAAATATGGCAACCCCCACGGCCCCCCCCCTCCCCAGGCTGTCTGTTCGTGGCGAGTGCACGTGGGTGTCCACATCTTGCCCATGGGGGCTGGTGTGCCTACCGCCCTCCCTCAGCCCTGGCCACCTTGGCTGGCATTCCTCCTCAGGGCAGCGGGGACCATGTTCACCTGGCAGCAGACCTCGTGCCTGTCTAGGAGCAGCCATCAGCTTCCTCACCTGTGACCAGCATCCAGGGCCACGTGGTGCCTGTAGGGCTGTGTGGAAATTGCTCCCCAGGGGCCGGAAAATGCCCAGGTTTGGGAAGTGTCAGAAGAAACAGCCTATGGGGACGTGGGAGAAGACAGCAAAAGGGTTGTCTGCAAAGCTAGAATAGGGACTGTGCAGTGGACATAGAGCACAGGACCACCTTGACTCAACCTGAGCCCTCAGGGGTCTTTACCTAAGGTCCAAACAGTGCACCTGTTTTCCTATGTGTGCCCAGGTTGGAAGAGCTGGGAGCGCAGCTTCCTTTGCCCACACTCATCCCAGCAGCATCAGCAGCCCCAGGAAACTGCTACGTTTCTGGCACTGACACAGGGTACAGCAGGGAAGAACCTCGCAAACTTTATGCTCAGTGAGAGAAGCCAGACCCAAAAGGTCAAGTATTGTGATTCCATTTATACGAAATGTCCAGAACAGGCAGCCCCATGCACGATGCAGATTAGTGGTGTCTAGGGCTGGAAGCAGGGAGGAATGAGGACTAGCTAATGGGGAGGGGATTTCTTTTTGGTTTGATGAAAATGTTCTAAAAGTACATAGTGGTAAACTAGATACAATATTGTGAATATAGTAAAACCACTGATTCAGTGAAGATACTAAAAACCACTGAATTGTGTACACTTTATGTACAATTAAATGTACACAATTTGGTTATGATGGTTAAAATGACGGCTAAAATGCTTAATTTTATGTTTTACCTAAGTAAAATATCTACCTTAAAAAAAAAGCAGGGCCGGCCCGGTGGCACACTCGGTAGAGTGCGGCGCTTGGGAGCCTGGCGGCGCTTCCGCCGAGGGTTTGGATCCCATATAGAGACCGGTCCGCTCACTGGTTGAGCGCGGTGCGGGCACGACACTGAGGGTTGCGATCCCGTTACCGGACACGAAAAAAGACAAAAAGGAAAAAAAAGAAAGCATACGTTCTCGGGCCCCTCCCAGACCAACAGCTAGTCTGGAGAGGGGCCCAGCAACCTGTTTTAAGTCCTCCAGGTGACTCTGACATGTGGTCCAGGAACTGCTGTGCTGGCCCAATCTCCCCAGAGCTGGACCACATGTGTGGGAGTCCCATGCCGTCCTTCGCTTGCCCCAGGAAGCCCCCCCAAGTCCCCAGCTCCTCAGCATAACTGCACACCTCCATGTGCTAGTAGTGCACCCCAGGATCGGTGCTCCGAAGGCTGGGTCCTTCGACCCTTTGGGCTCCCATGCAGGCTGCAAGGGCAGCACAGGCATCCCACTCTTTCCTTCCTCAGACTGTAACACGAAAAAAGACAAAAAGGAAAAAAAAGAAAGCATACGTTCTCGGGCCCCTCCCAGACCAACAGCTAGTCTGGAGTGGGGCCCAGCAACCTGTTTTAAGTCCTCCAGGTGACTCTGACATGTGGTCCAGGAACTGCTGTGCTGGCCCAATCTCCCCAGAGCTGGACCACATGTGTGGGAGTCCCATGCCGTCCTTCGCTTGCCCCAGGAAGCCCCCCCAAGTCCCCAGCTCCTCAGCATAACTGCACACCTCCATGTGCTAGTAGTGCACCCCAGGATCGGTGCTCCGAAGGCTGGGTCCTTCGACCCTTTGGGCTCCCATGCAGGCTGCAAGGGCAGCACAGGCATCCCACTCTTTCCTTCCTCAGACTGTAGCCTGGGCCTGGCTAAAGACCCCCTGTGTGAGTTGGGTGGTGGTGCCCCCAAAGCCCTGCCCACCCTGGCTGTAGGGCCCCTCCCTAGAGCAGCCTGGGGCTTTGATACAGGGTTAGGAGACCCTGATGTCCCACTCTGGGTGCTGATCACTGTCCTTCCCCACTGGCCAGAACCAAGGTGTGGGTGGGGGGAGCCCCAAGAGCAGACTGGTCAGGAGGGACTGAGAGCAAGATTCTCTAGAGTGAATCCAGAACCTGGAACGTAGGCCTGGAATCCATCCACATGACTGAACCCCTCACACTGGCCCACCTGGCTCTTTGCAACTGCTTCCTGACCTGCTTGCCTGCTTCTCTTTAAACAAACACTTCCCACATTTTTGTAGTTACAGAAGGCAAGAGCTTAAGGTGGGCGGGCCCTCTGGCCCTCTCCCTCTCCAACCTGCCCACTAGCTCCCCTCACTGGGACCCACTGGTTTGGGACTAGGCTTCTGTGCCATGTGTTGTGCGTTGCCCCTATCAGTCTGTCATCATCCCCTGTACCCACCCCGAGTGCAGGACCTGCAATCTGCTGCATGCACTCAGGAGCTCAGCAAGCACTTGGGAGCCCAGGAAGTTCAGGGGCCTGGGGGAAAAGCAGGCTCTCAGCCTCCTGCAGTTGAACATGTATGCCCTGAGTCTGGGAGCTACAGTGGGAACGGCAGAGGTTGAATGAGCTGGATCCCATCCTCCCTACAGACTTAAGGGAAGTGGGGGTTTGGCTCCTGCCCAAGGGCTCTGCCCAGTTGGTCTGGGACCCACCCAGAGTATCTAAGACAGGAATCGGGGAGCAGCTGTGGGAGCCCCAAGCCCTCCTGGAGCTGCTTTGACCCCAGTCTCACCTACATTCTGGCTGAATCTTAGGCCTACTCTCAAGTCCTGGGACATCTACCCTCTGCCTCTCAAATCCACCGCTCCCCTCCTCAGATGGTGGTGAAAGTGGCAAAACAATGTGAATGCATTTAATGCCACTGGACTGGACACTTAAAAATGGCTACAATTGTGAAGTTTATGTATATCTTACTATAATAAAAGTTTTAAGTCACCTCACCCCCTCCAGGAGATAAGGCACTGAGGCAGGAGGCCCTTCTGTAGCCCTGGCTCCAAGGTACTGTCCCCATCCTCCAACAGATGCTGCCCTAGATGTCATGTGCCAGGTTGCACAGCTGGGTCAAGAACCCATGACCTCAGTTCTCATCCCTCTTTGCCTCTCTACTCCCAGGACCACCCTTAACCCACTCAGGGATTCCTGCCCACTACCCACACCCAAGGGGACCCCTGTGCGGGAGAGAACTACCTAGCTTGGCATTGTCACCACCTACCAAGCAAAGCTATTTAGCTTGTTTTCCTAAAAAAAAAAAAAATACCAAATAATGTGTGGAAGTCTTCCCACAGTGTGAGTAAAGAGACATTCCAGTCAGGCCCCTTCTGATTTGCCCCATCCTGGGCTGCAGGCAAGGGTGGTGCCCTTGGGTGAAGACAAGAGCCTGCTCTACCTGGGGACCCTTCACATGGGAGGTGGGAGAGACAGGCCTCCCAGACCTAGACACCTCCCAACAGTCCGTCTCCAGTGAGATCTACAGGTTCTGCTGAGGAAAAGGTCTCACTGTATTGGATGAAAAAAGTGAAAATGGGTTTCCTACAGCAGACTCTGAGGAGGACTTGGTGCAAGTGGTTTGTGTGGGAGCAAGGAGGCACTTGGGAGGAGAAGCTGTCCTGAGTCATCAGCACAGCTGGACTGGGGCACAGGGATCATGTGGGCCAGGACCACATTACAGGTGCACAAAGCATCCACACAACCGTCCCCGCAAAACTGGGAGGCAGAGGCATCTACCCCAGGACCTCTGAGCAGAGGGGGCCCCAGAAGGCTGCACCAGCATGGGGCTATCAGGGAAGGACCAGGGACACTGAAACTGAAGCCGAAGGGGGACCCACACCCTGCTGTAATCAGAGGACAGAGGGAGATGGCATGTGCGTACTGGGGGCCACTAGGACAACACCTTTTTTGGTAAAGCCCATTCCCTGGAGAGAAAAAAAAAAAAAAAAAACACAAATATGTGTCCTCACACACAAATTTATGTCTAAATAAAAAAGGATCCAAACTATTCATGGTGGTAATGGCTCCATTACAGCCCGAGGGTGAGGCTGTCTGGTTAAGCTCCAGGAGAACCTGGGCTGTCCACAGACGCTCACTGCCAGGCAGCCACAGCCACCATGTTTGGGAACAGGGAGCCCCCTTAGCCCCTCCCTCCCAGAAGACCAGGAGGAGGGCACCACAATGAACGTGTGTCCTGAGTCCCATGTGTAGACGGTGCTAATGAGGAACGCCCATAAATGGCGATGTCTGCACAGCACGGCCCAGATCCCAAGCAGACCCCGCACGGACGCCCTTTCCCACCCTCCTTTGCTGTGGACACAGTTGGCCAGGGAAGAGCTGTGTCATGGGCCAGCAGAGCAGCCCACCTACTCACATCCTCTTTGAGGGGACAGACTGCAGAAGGGGGAGCTCAGAGCAGGACCATCAGTCACATTATGATGCTGGTAGCCACAAAATGCCAACCACAGTGCCCCATCTCTGCCCACTGAGCAAACCAGCTCATGTGTGGCACCTGCACATCTGCAGGGACATAGGGAATGGAGATGACTCTTATGTTCTACCAATGTGACCATCAGAAGCTCCCTCCAAAAATAAACCAAAAAATCCCCCAGTGAAGAAGGGAAGGAGCTCTCAGTATCCACAAGTTAGTTAGCAGTTACCCTTTTCAGAAGGGCATCGCTTTAGTCTTAAGGTATCTGCCCCATGCAGAGCAGAAGAGCTGAGAGTAGGTAACACGATCGGCCCACTGTGGGCATGAACCACAACGCCCCAAGGGGAGGTCTGACCCAAAAGCCCACATCCTCTCCTCCAAGGACCTCCTGGCTGCCATGTAGCTGTCATCCATGGGTCTTTCTTTGCCCTAAGTAACTTTAAAACTGCAGTGTAGCCCACCTGAGCTAGAGTCTCAGGATGAGGCTGTGGTAACAGCTGCCCAGACAGGCCAGCTCTTCCAAAGAACTGGATGCAGAACGGGGTCCCATCCCTCCTCCCCAGGGGAGACTGCTCTCTGGTCTGCATGGAGGGGCAGAGATGGGCAGGTCAGACACTCAGAAAGGGCATGTGGAGCCGAGGGAGCAGAAAGCAGACACCCCCACCACAGCCACGAGGAGGCAGTCCATCAGATTTATTAATTCCTATTCAACATAACCCCAGAACACGGGAGCAACTCTGTATAACTCTAGAAACTCACAGCTAGCTCCAAAACAATGGAAATTTCAAACTACAAAAGATGAGTTGTATTCAGCAAATATAAAGGGTACTTTTAGGCTGTGTTGAAAGTTTATCAGACTATTTACAGCACCCAGGTCCGGGTTCATATCTCGCCAGCCTCCTTCTCCTCAGACTTCCGTGAAGCCATCTTCCCATTGGAGCTTTCGAGCCTCCAGTCAGTGGGACCCCGCTCGTGCCGCCCGCAATCCCAGGACTCCTCTCGTGGCGCCCGCTCTCTGGAGAACCTAGGAAATGGGAACAAGAGGCTCAGCAAAGGCTGCCATCCCCCTTCTGGCTGGCTGCTCAGGAACTGCAAACATGGACCCGCAACACTGGGCCAGGGAAGGCCGTGCCCCCACCACAACTCAGGAGCCTCCAGCAGGCCAGATGGCAGCCCAGCCTGCTACCTCAGGCCCAGCCCACTGCAGAGGGAGCATTAGGTAGCCATTAAAAAGCAACCTTTGCAAAGATTTTTAATTAAGAGGGAAAGCTTTCGCTATAACATAAATGAAGCAGAGAACACAACAAAATTATACATGTGGAATATAATCCACCACGTAAAAATACAATGGGAAAAAAGACCAAAATCAAAAATCACAACAGAGGTAAACAGAGGCTGGTGAGGACACAAGTCTGAGCTGCTCTGTGAGTGCAGCATGCTCAGACTGGCGACAGTGAGTGTGCAGCCCCTGCAGCACCCCTTAGAGTGGTGTGCATGGCCACTCCACAGCCCTCAGAGTCCCACTCATGACTCCCAAAGGCCCCAACACTCGGCTCCACAGCGGCCCAGCCAGGCTCATAAGTGCAGGCCCAGCCCCATCCCTACCGGATATGGCAAAAGGGCCCCACTGAAGACCCTAGCAGACCCTGGGAACACAAAGAGAAGGGGCTCACTCCTGGTTGCAGCTACCGAAGGAGTCAGAGTAGTTACTTGTATTTCGCACTCCGGTCCCTGGAAGCCCGGCGGTGTCCCCGGCTGTGGCTCCGGGAACGGCTGCGGTGACGCCGGTGTCTATCTCGGGACCGGGACCGGGAGGACTTCCGTCGCTCTCGGGAGTTAGATCTTGACCGCCTCCGACGCCGGTCCCGGGAGCGTGACCTAGAAAAAGCAGAAAAAAGGATCTGAGACTCTGGCCAGAGGCTCTGTGGGCACAGAGCTCCACAAGGGTCCAGCTCTGATGCCCTCCTCTCTCAGCTGCTTCACTGATATTCCCCCTTCTGCCTCCTACAAATGTACAATTTAGGTTTAAAATACTCCCAGCAGTTACATTTCTGATGGCCAGACCCTTCCCACTGGTGCCTTCTCCAAACCTCTCTCCTGGTCACCCTGCAGGCCTCGGCAGCACCCTCTGACCTTTCCTGTCATTAGTGGTGGATGACTCCCTGCACTAAGACCCAACCAACACCATCTGTTATGCCCTTCAGCAGCCAGCCCTGCCTACGAGGTGACAACCGCGAAGTTATGAACATTAAATATTAAGAAAATGCTTGTGGAAAGACATTAGACTGAGAATACATCAATGAGTCTGGAAACCTACCTCCTGCGATCTCTGGTTCTTGATCCAGACCTAAAAAGGGAAAAGAAAATGAACAATTTCCCCAAAGCACCCCCATTTCTCACCACCTCCGGGGAGGTGCCTCAGATCCAACAGGTGAAGGAACGCCTCTAAAGACCTTTATCTTCTAGCTGCTCACTTGCTCCCGGCCTGCAGTGGGAAGTGCCAACGTTTGTGGGATGAGCCCCGCCACCCTCCAGCTGCTCTGTGGCACACTCAGGGGCACCTGAAGTTCATAGGGCTCAGGATGTCAGATGCAGCCTTGCAAGGTTACCACAGGCCTTTGGGAATGGACATGTTCCAACTGTGCAACGCTGAGGGAAAACCGTGCTGCACTCTAAAGCCTTTGCAACGAATACTGGCACAGAATGTGCAGACAGACGCAGAACACGCCAAGGATGAGCATGAATATAAAGTCACCAAAAAGACACCAAAGTGAAGCAAAGCCTTAAGTTCCAAACACAAGCTTCTTGCCAGATGAGAGTCAAACGAGCTCCTTCTGCTACACAACTAGAAATCTGAAAAATGCACGTTACAACGAGGGCTGATTTTATACCCATTCTGGGAGCACGGTGCAGCCATTAAGGACAAGTGGTCCCACATGCACCTGCAACATGTGTGTGGCTGCAACTGTGCACACAGACACCCCACTATGATAGGAGTCACCCCGGTGCAAAATAGGATTCCATGTTTTGCTTAATGTTTTTATGTTATCCAAGTCTCTTTGTAATCAGAATCTATTGCTGGATAACTGAAACATTAAAAACAAACAGAAAATATAATAAACGTTTGCCCTGAGTTATGCACTAAGGAATTGTTTCAAGAAAGCGCAGTTTTTGGAACTTTCAAGGACAACAAGCTGTGCCCTTCGGGAAAGTGGTTGTTCCTGGCTCCAACCTCTGCTTTTAACTCTAATCAGACTCAACAACTCTACTGGGAGTTGGCATCACAAACTGAATATGGCAAAGCCAAACTCTACCTCCTCTCGCCAACAAACCACTCCCAGTCTACCTACCCAACTCCATGCCAGAAACTTCGAGGCCAGCTTTGCACACCTCATACAGTCTACCAACAAATGCTAACAGTTCCACCCCCAGAACATACCCAGATTCCTTCCACCTCGTTCAAACTGCGACCCCCTTTACCTGGATTCTCCCAACCAGACACTCATGGTCTTGCACTCTGTTCCCCACAGGACAGCATGTGCATGCTTCAAGTCCACCCTTCCTCTGCAAGAAGCTGTCCAATGGCCCCACATCACTCAGCATATAAATGCCATAGCCTGGACATAGCCTCCAACCACTTGGCCCCAAAACCCCTCCCTAATGGATTTTTCCCCCCAGCAAAGCATCACCATGAGACACAGCAGTTCCTTCTCCCACAGGATGTTTCCTACCTGTCCAATTGCTGAGTGCTGACCCCCTGGACCCATCAGAGCAGGTTCTGTGGGCTGAATGAAGAACTTCTCCTCAGCTTTTCCCTCTCCCTCTCTTAGGCCAGCATAGCCAGGCCCTGGTCTGCCACCAAAGCTGCTCTGTTACACACACGCAAGTCCTGGACCAGCCCAGGTATTTAGCAGACCTTGGCCATTCCAAGGAACACTGATGGCTGGAGCAGGCATTACTGAGGCATGTAGCCAGCCCAGTGACCCAGGCTCACCTCCTGCTCAGCCGCTCCTCCCGCTCCCTCTCCTCTCTTCTCCTCAAGCGATCCTGATTTCTCTTCTCTTGCTTTTCAGCCACAGTTTTCTAAATAAATGAAAAATGGGAAAATGAAGGAAGAGAAGTTACACAAACTAGAGTGTGAATGTTGTTTAACAAAGTACCTTTATGTGATCTCAGTACTGGTCATTTAAAAATCTAAGAAAAACTCTTAAGAGTCTTTTTTTTTTTTTAAAGATGACTGGTAAGGGGATCTTACTCCTTGACTTGGTGTTGTCAGCACCACGCTCACCCAGTGAGCAAACCGGCCATCCCTATATGGGATCCGAACCCGGGGCCTTGGTGTTATCAGCACCACACTCTCCCGAGTGAGCCACGGGCTGGTCCCTTAAGAGTCATTTTTAAAACTTCTTAATCAATGGAGAAGATTTAACACATGAAAAAATGCTTTATCGTTACATTTTATAAATTCAATGACAAACCATATATTCTAAGAGGTGCTACACTTCTAAGTCACAGAGAATTGACCACATTGTTTCAAAGCAATCCAGGAAGTATTTTACCCAAAGCAAACTCCAAACACGTATGTCTGACCAAACACATCTTGCAGCTGGGAGCAAAACTGCTGCCACCAAAGAGTGGCCCACCTTAAGGTACTGGGTGCTACCCTGGCTTTTGACCTAACCTCATGGGGATTGCAAGCCAGGGAGGGGAACCATGAAGGCCCTGCACCTGGCTTTCAACACAAGCAGACTTGACTCCCTGGGCTTGATCAAGAATGCAATAGAAGGCAAGAGGCTTTGAGAAACCAAAATACTGAAACACCCTCCACACATGCTGAGCTGAGAAGCACTAGGTGCCATTCTGAGTATCCCTCACCCCCAATATCAACTCAAAGCCCTTTCACACCCCTAGACCAAGTTAATACTTAAGTTCCTAAGGTTGCAGGAAAAACATTTTAATAAATGCAAATTTCTGATGCAGAAATATATATTAGGGAAAACAAAAAACTTTCAGGTATAATAAAGTACATCAGGACAAATTTCTGGGGTGATATGAAATGGAAATACCATTTAAATGAGAAATGGGATTGTAACATCTCCAACTGCTAAGGAGCCAATTTTTAATGGGATGATAGTGGATACCAAATTGTTATTTATATTCTATTGGGTACATATAAAATACTTTTACATCTTTTACACCAATAAACTTAAAAGGAAAAATTCCAACTTAAAAACGTGTGACAGAATACACTGTTTTTCAAAATTCTATTGGCAACACAGAAGCAAATGTTCTGAGACCAGAGGCTGAGAACACCCTTACTATCATCCCAGCTTCTGCTCCTAGTCCAAGTGCACACGTCACCTACGGGGACCCCTCCTCCGGCATAGAGCCCTGCTGCTTGAGTAAGTGGCTCCTTCCTGGGGTACACAAGGTTCCCAGCCCAGAAAGAGGCTTTGGCTATTGCAGCATTCTGCATTCTATGATCACGTACCACCTGTCTGTCCTTCCACATTTCAGATGTATGGAAGGAAGGCCTCCTACTTCCCAACACCCCATCCTGGGTCCTAGTACAAAGTAGGGAGGCCTCATCAGTTTGAAGAATGACAATTCGAGTCTCTGAAACCTTTTCAACCCTTCTTCTTGGCATTCTGTATTTAATATTTTAAATGTTTTAGAGTCTAACTTGGGAAAATGAGGAGGCTTGAGGAAGAAACACAGGCTGTGTGGGCCAGGGCAGTACAGTGCTGTCAGAAAACCCCATCACCTCTTTATCCTTCTCAGGGGGCTCAAAGGCAAGGTGCCAGGATGTGTGACCTTCTGTCTGGCCTTACCACACAGACAGATGCATTCCCTATCTCCAAACAGAAGTTCTTTCAGAAGTGGACAGAGCTGTTGTACCCTGGGACTGGACTTCACCGTTTTCTTCCATAAATGAGGGAGTACAGACTATATAAACCTTCAAGGCTCCTTTGGATTCTGAGACCTCATGTCTTTTATGTGAACCCAAGTGATAAAATTTGAGCATTTCACTATAAAACTTGAATTCTTAGAGAAGATCAGAACACAAGGTCTTTTTTTTTTTTTCCTTTTTGTCTTTTTTCGTGTCCGGCAACGGATCGCAACCCTCAGTGTTGCGCCCATACCGGACCGGGACCGGCAACGGGATCGCAACCCTCGGTGTTGCACCCACACCTCGCTCAGCCAGTGAGCGGGAACCGGTCTGTATGTGGGATCCGAACCCTTGGCGGGAGCGCCGCAGAAGTGGACAGAGCTGTTGTACCCTGGGACTGGACTTCACCGTTTTCTTCCATAAATGAGGGAGTACAGACTATATAAACCTTCAAGGCTCCTTTGGATTCTGAGACCTCATGTCTTTTATGTGAACCCAAGTGATAAAATTTGAGCATTTCACTATAAAACTTGAATTCTTAGAGAAGATCAGAACACAAGGTCTTTTTTTTTTTTTCCTTTTTGTCTTTTTTCGTGTCCGGCAACGGATCGCAACCCTCAGTGTTGCGCCCATACCGGACCGGGACCGGCAACGGGATCGCAACCCTCGGTGTTGCACCCACACCTCGCTCAGCCAGTGAGCGGGAACCGGTCTGTATGTGGGATCCGAACCCTTGGCGGGAGCACCACCACACTCCCAAGCGGCGCACTATAGCAGTGTGCCACCGGGCCGGCCCCGGAACACAAGGTCTTTTAAAATTACAGAAACATGAAGATGACCACAAGACTCCTCAGGTTTCTACAGAAATACAATACACTGACGTACTCTCAACTGATCAAGCTTCTCTCGGATCTGAATGAACCCCAAGTGTAACTTGCCCCCGAAGTGATCTGCCAGACGACGATCATTGTCATGGAGACCAAGGTAGGCTGAACAGACCTCACAGACACGCAGCTTTTGCTGCTGAAAACTGGATGCAGGCATGGAATTTCTGTATTCTTCCTGGAGAAAGGGAATAGAGAGATGAAAGGTTTACAGAACTGTCACCATGTATCCAACCTCCAAATTGGAAATATTTGATAGGATGACAGAGGAAACTTTTAAATAAATGTGAAAAACTGGACTGTTTACAAACAGAGCTTCAGATACTTGTAACCAATTCAATTTTCATTGTTTAAGATATGAACAGAGTCATGATATCAAAGCAACAAGGAACATTCAAAACATTCAGACAAGCAGGACCCTCTCTGTTCTTAGAAACCAGCAGGGAAGGCAGGTCTCTGCTCTGTACGATGAATGCTTTATAAGGACCAGAGAAGCAAGAAGGGATAATCTTCAACAAACAAACAAGCACAAAATACAGAGCAAGCCATAGTAGGGACTGTGTCGCAATGTCTGGGAAACTGTACCCCAATGCATCCCCAAAAGTAAAATTTGCAAGGACACATTAGACACTTTCTTCAAAGGAAAAAAGTTTGCACAAAAGAATGGAATAAAATATCCCCCACCCTGCCACCTCGCAGCCACTGCAGAGTCTGTGTCCGATTACAGAAAGTATCTCACTCAGCCTCAAGGCAAAATACACTAAATACAAACAAAAAAAAGCCAAGGGGCACTGTTGCTGCTGCTTGCACTCAAATTAAAACACTCCTTCAAGATCCAGATTTAAGAAACACATTCTAATAGTCATTTGTCCTTTTTTAAACGGACATCTGAAAGTGAATGTAAGTAATCTTTCATCAATTCACACATTCAAAACATTCTCCAGAAAATACAAATTAAAATAAGATATATGTCACTCCCACTAACTGGCAAAGAGGTATAAAAACAAACGCTCTCATTTACTGCTGATAGGAAACTAAGCTGGTACACCTAATGTGGAGTACAATTTAGTAATCGACCTGTTAAAATGGAATGCGTATGCACCATTACCCAGAAACCGTTCCAGGTATTTGTGCTATCGTACATGTGCACCACACAGGCGTAAGGAATAAGGACACGTGCTGCAGAATTGTTTGCAGTAGTGAGAAACCACCAATAACCTAGAAAACTGTGAATGAACAGTCATCCGTTCATAAAATGGAATGCTATAGCAATAAACTAACTGAATAGATCTGAATAGATCTGTATGTAGCAACACGGAGAGATCTCACAAACACCAATGAATGAAAAAATGCAAGTTGCAGAAAAACAAATATAGCATTAATGCAGGGTTTTAAAAATGCACAATGCACATCACCCACACAGTGCACCACACACACACACACACACACACAGACACACACACAGACACACACACACAGCATATGGGTACACATATGTAATAAAGTATGAAGACAACTAAAGGATATATGCTAGAGAGGGAATGAATTGGGACTAGAGAGGAGAAACAGCAGGAACTTGAATTTCCATTATAAATGGAATGCTACATCTTTTATTAAAAGAAAAAACAAAACAAAAAACCTTAAGCAGAAACAATAAGTATAGTGGGCTCACAAGTATTTGATATTCTGCCCCTTTTATAGTTTTGAAACTTTTTTTTTTTTTTTGCTGGCTGGCCAATGTAGGGATCTGAATCCTTGACCTTGGTGTTATAAGCCCTTGTGCTCTAACCAACTAAGCTAACCGGCCAGCATGAGTTTTGAAACTTTAAATGCCACCCTCTCAAATCTTTCAAAATAAATTCTAATTATGCTCAGTAAAAAAAAAAAAAGCCAGTCCCAAAAGGTTACATACTGTATGATTCCATTTATAAAACATTCTTGAATTCACCAAAACAAAGAAATGGGGAGAAGGGGCCGGCCCGTGGCTCACTCGGGAGAGTGCGGTGCTGATAACACCAAGGCCCCGGGTTCGGATCCCATATAGGGATGACCGGTTCGCTCACTGGCTGAGCGTGGTGCTGAGAACACCAACTCAAGGGTTAAGATCCCCTTACCGGTCATCTTTTAAAAAAAAAAAGAAAGAAATGGGGAGAAGATGAGGAATTACCAGGGGTCCAAGAAGTGGGTGTGGCTTATAAAAGGAGGGCTCTTTTCTGTATTTTGACTGTATCAATGCCAGTATTCTGGTTGTGATACTATGCTATAGTTTTACCATAGATTACCTTCGGGGGAAATTGGGTAAAAGATACACAGGGTATCCCTGCATTATTTCTTTTTTCTTTTGGCCACTGGACAGAGAGTACAGGGATCAAAACCTGGACCTTGGTGTTTATTAGCACCACGCTCTAACCAACTGAGTTAACCGGATAGCCTTTCTCTATTTTTTACAACTGCATGTGAATCTACAATTATTTCAAAATAGAAAGTAAAAATAAAATTAAAAAAATAAATTCTCTAACAATTCCTGCAAATATGCTATCCTGAGTAACTAATAACCACTGCCAAATATTCCGTTCTTTCAAATAACTAAGAGTGATAAAAACCCTCAGATTCTAAGCCACTAGAAGTGAGCCAAAAAGCAGGCAAGAAGCCTTAAGACTACTTAACACCTTGCCTGCTCCTCAGAGCAGAAAGGACAGCAGAGGTGCCACAATGCTGCAGAAATCAGCATTGCCAGGGTCCCACACGCCCACACCATCCCGACCTTGCCCCAGTGGTTTTATGGGAGAGGTGTTGCCTCTTAGGGGCATGCTGAGTCCTCTGATACCTACAGTGACAGGGAGGGGGCAGCAATAGGAGGTAAGGATGCTGGGAGTCCTGGGCATGGGGAGCCACACATCCCACACTCTGATCCTCTCTCGAGTATAGACATCCATAGTTATTTTTAGCCAATGTACAAATCTCTGAGCTATCAAAGGGGCTTCTGGTGTCTAAGCAGGAAGGGTTAAGGTCTGAGGGTGCCCTGAGAAGCTGCAGAGCATCCCTACTGACTCTCTGGCCTTTCTAGTGGAGGTATCAGCAGTCCAGTGAGCATGACACTCTTATACATGAACACATAGAACTGTTTGTAGAATTTACACCCAATTAACCAGAAATGGAATTACCCTGCAAACCAAGGTAAAAATGTTGAGAACTTTACCAAGTGCTGGTTACCGTCTGGGAAGTCATACCACCATGGCAATGCCACACAAGGCATTTGAATCACAAAATCATCTGCGACTGTCACATTCGCTGATTCTACGCAGTGTGCTACAAGCATGATCCCACTGTCTTTTAGAGTGATCACATCTAAGTTTTATATACAAAAACATCGTATTTGTATTGTGAATTCTTTTCTCTATCCTTTATGTTAAAGAATTAACAGCAAAAAATATAGTACCTACGAAGGAGTGTGTTGGTGCATCAGGGGTGTGAAAGATTATCCCAGCACCACCTTCCAACAGACAAATGCTGCCAACCTCAATTCCAGCCGCTGCTCGGGCACCACGGAAAGCACAGCCCTGACAGTCCCACCTTGAGTAACTCTATTGCTTTCTTTCCATACCTGTGGGTAGCTTCAGTGAGCATGGCTCTAACACCCATGAGCCCTTAGCACCATGCAGTCAGCTAACTGTGAGCACCTACTATGTGACAGGCACGATGCTGAGGCAGGGGCACAGTGATAACCAAAACCAGGCCTGCACCAGGGCACTACATGCCATTTCCTTACTTCTGCCCCACCTTCCTGCCCCCTACCATCCCAGTAACCTCCTCAGTCTGTGGGTCTCAGCTAATGGGGCTTTCAGGGATCACCCTACTTTACCTAGAGACCACCCCCAACCCAAAGTCACTCTCAAACTCAGACCCAATTTCATTTGTGCTCCTACCTTCATCTGAATGAATCTTAGCCATCTGTTCACACTTCCTTCTGTCTGCGCTCCGCCTCCCCCTGCACCACTACAGTGCTGTCTCCATGACAGAAGGGCCCTTTCTGTATTGCTCACAACTAGAAGAGTGCCTAGCACACAGCTAGAGCTGAGTAAGTGTTTATTAAGTGAACGCACCCAGTTCTATGTCCTCTGACTCTACCATTCCCATCACAAGCCGTCTCTGCCAATACAAGTGGTGAGGATTTGAGAACCAGAAGGCATCCAATGGATGAGTTAATCCAGGAGGAAAAGGGTTGCCAATCATACAAACACTGAGCCCTTGACTCAGTTTCCCCACCACAATGCCAGTGTGTCCTGGCCCAGCACCCCTAGCCTGACACCACTTGGATGCCACCCGCCAATCTGCACAGGTTCTCGCTACCAAAGGTACAACGTCACTAGGAACACACAGGTTTCATTCTTTACATAATCAGCAAGACAACTCTGTGCCAGTCACACAAGCTGAATAAAACCCCAGTCTACCAACACTCCCAGGGAAGCAGAAGAAACAGAGGAAACAACAGTGAAACCGACATCTGCGTGACCTTTACAAGACTGGGCAGGACTGCTCTCTACAGATGAAAACTATGCTCAGACTTCTCTGAGGTAACACAGGGTGAGTGGCAGAGAGAACACACAAACCCAAGTTATTTCCAGTTCCTCTCTAATACTGGAAGTCGCCACTACACCCTGATGAATACAAAGCTGAACAAACTGAAAAATCACCGTTTTTAGATCAATCAGAGAAGTGAGGTCACAGGGCAAACTGCTGCCCCCAAAAGTGGAGAGATAGACAGAGGCACAGAGAATCACAAATTACTGGAGCAGAAACTTCCACGGGAACCAGTGCCAGGGGGAAAAAAAAAAAAAAAAAAAAAAAAAAAACCCTAAACTGTAATCAATGACTTTCTGGAGGTTCAGCAAGCACAAGTCTGACTTAAAAAACTCCATAGGCCCCAGTCATAGGGCGATTCCACACTTTTATGAGTTGTACCTCCAGCTTTGCCAGGCTTCACAGTAAATATCAAAGAAAAATCGCCTTGTGAGTCTGGCAGGGAGAGGGAGAAAGAAACCATTTTGAAATATGCCAGAGCATTCTGTTCTTAATGAGGCCTGCACTCAGGAGAAACTATTTTACCAGAGCCTAACCTGCTGGGGTTTTATCGGAGCCTAACCTACCTGGTGGAAGGGGAAATAAATACCCAACTTAGCCCCCTCTAGCCATCCTGTCCCATTGAAGGTGGGGGTGGAGGTGGGGTTGGGAGTGTGGGAACCTGAGAAGCACTTGTAAAAAAAAGTTCACAATCCCGGGGCAAGGGCTTACCAAAAGACTGAGATCTAATCACAAGACCATAGAATACCCATCCCAACACCTTATCATCACATTACTAAGAGCCTATTTACAGCAGTTCCTTTTACCCACTATATTACCCACCAGTTACCAAGAAAAAATTACCAGGCATACCAAAAGGCAAAAACATGGCTTGAAGAGATAGAGCAAGCATCACAACCTAAGATATAGTAGGGATGCTGGAATCATCAGACTAGGAATTAAAAACAACTATGATTAAATGCTAAGGGCTCTAATGGATAAAGCAGACAGGATGCAAAAAAAGATGGCGGCTGGCCAGTTGGCTCAGCTGGTTAGAGCATGGTGCTGGTAACACCAAGGTCCCAAGTTTGATCCCTCTCTACTAGCCAACTGCCAAAAAAATAAAAAAATAAAAAATAAAAAAGACCTACTATAAGGCTACAGTAATCAAGATAGTGTGGTATCGGTGTAAAAACAGACAAACAGATCAATGGAACAGAATAGAGAGCCCAGAAGTAGACCCACTTAAATATACTCAACTGATTTTGACAAAGGAACAAAAGCAATACAATTAAGCAAAGATAATCTTTTCAACAAATGGTGGCTGGAACAACTGGACTTCCACATGCAAAATAAATGAATAAATAGACCTAGACACAGGTGTTACACCCTTCACGAAAATTAACTCAAAACAGATCATGGACCTAAATATAAAATACGAAACTATAAAACTCTTAGAAGGTAACACAGGACAAAACGTAGATGATCTTGGTTGGTGATGACTTTTTCCGATACAACACCAAAGGCACGATCTGTGCAAGAAATAACTGATAAGTTGGACTTCATGAAAATTAAAAACTTCTGCGAAAGACAAGGTCAAGAAGGGCTGACCAGTCAGCTCAGCTCATTAGAACTCAGTGTTACAACACCAAAGTCACAGGTTCAGACCCCCGTACTGGCCAGCCACCACCACCAACAAAAAGACAATGTCAAGAGAATGAGAAGACAAACCAAAGACCAGGAGAAAATATTCACAGAAGATACATCTGATAAAGAACTATTATCCAAAATATGCAAAGAACGCTAAAACAAAACATTAACATATATAACCTAATTTTAAAAACTGGCAAAAGACCTGAACAGTCACCTCACCAAATACGATACAAACAGCAAGTAAGCCCGTGAAAAGATGTTCAACATCATGTCATTAGGGAAATGCAAATTAAAATAATGAGATACCACTATACACCTATCAGAAAGGCCAATGCCCATATACCACCACCACCAGATGCAGGGGAGGGTGTGGAGCTACTCTCATTCACTGCTCATGGGACTGCAAAACGGTAGACACTTCAGAAAATAGGATGGTGTGGTTTCTCACAAAACTAAACCTCTTACCACATGATTCAGCAATTATGCTTCATAGTGTTTTTATTGAAAAAGTTAAAAACTTATGTCCACACAAAAATCTGCACAAGCATGTTTAGAGAGCTTTATTCATAAATACCAAAACTGGGAAGCAAACAAGATGTCCTTTAGTAGGTGAATGGATTAATAAACTGTGATATATGAAGACAATAGAATACTATTCAGCACTAAAAAGAAATGAGCTGTCAAGTCATGAAGAGACGTGGAAGAAACAAATGCATATTACTAAGTGAAAGAGCTAATGTGGAAAGGCTATAGATAGTAGCTATGTAGTATGATTCCAACTATATGACAATCTGGGAAAGGTAAAACTATGGAGACAGTAAAAAAGTCAGTGGTTGCCAAGCGTTGGGGGAAAGGAGAGATGAACAGGCACAGCACAGAGGATTTTTAAAGGAAGGGAAATTATTCTGTATACTACTATAATCATGGATGCACGTCATTTATACACTTTTCAAAACCCATAGAAAATACACCACCCAGAGTGAATGCCAATGTAAACTATAACCTTTGGGTGGTAACAATGTGTCAACGTAGGTCCGCTGATTTCAGCAAACGTACCACTCTGGTGGGAGATGCTGATAAGGGAGGTGGCCAGCGGGTGGGCAGGGGGATACATGGGTAATCTTTGTCCCTTCTTTTCAATTTTGCTCTGAATCTAAAACTGCTCTAAAAAACGTTTATTAAAAAAAAAAAAAAAAAAAAAAAACTACAGGCATGGCTTCACATTAGTCCCAACGGTCAACTCTATCAAAGTTAATAACATTCTCCTTTCCTTGAGACATTCTTCTCACCAACCTCGGCTTCTTTTTTCTTTGCGCGGACTTTCTCCACTTCCATAAGAATCTTCTGGGATTCATCTACATTTCCTTCGGCTCCTAGCTGCTCAGCTTTAGCAAGGAGTTTTCCTATTTCTTCATTCAACTCATGTACTTTTTCTGCCTGAGAGGAGAGAGAAAGAATCAGATAAGCAGACATCTAAAAACAGAAGATTTTGAATGCAAAGGAAACAAGTGTTTCTCTTGCTGTGTGTCCAGTCTATTCTACTGAAAATAAATGGAAGAGCTACACTGAATCACATCCACATTTTAACGATTATAATGTCCTTATTACCGCCACTAATACCCTGACCATTAACTAAACCTGTGTGCTGTGTTCCAATGAAAGCAGTAGCATCTGACAATTCCAACATTGTCCCAAGGACCATATTTTGGTCATTTTCTAGGTTGTTTCTTTTTATGTTTTCTATTACAGTTCAATCTTCTGGACATGGGAAATAAAATGTCTAGGTTCAAATGCACAAACTTAAGCTGTAAGCAAAATTCTAAAAAATTACTGGGATTTATCTTTAGAAACAAAATAGCACCTTTGGTCCAATTAGCAATGGCATATATCCAAAGAAATGCTTCTACAATACCGAAAATAAAAAAATGACAGACCCGTTTTTCCTGAAAAGGAGACACAGAAGAGTGATGCAGCTCACACTAGGAACAATTACATACAGATCTGCCTCCCCTTCATGCCATAATATGGGTGCATCAGAGTTTGACCATTTCCCTATTTCCTGTTTTACATGCAGATGTTAAAAAAAAAAAAAAAAAGTTTAAAAAACACGCACTCATATAGAGGGGGAAAAATGGACAGAAATAAAAAGAAACAGAGGCAGCATTTCCTGGGAGTGAGAGTTCATGGACAGGAATGCTTAGACACAGCCTTCTGTCCTTACTGGGAACACCCACAGCAGAGAGTACATCCACCCAAAGTCACCCAATCAATGCTGGTGGTCAGTTAATAGCTATTGGCAACCCAGTATTTGCAAGGTAAGAATTTATACCAAAGCCACCAGGCATACCTTTGCAGAAACTTCCGCACTGATCTCCTCCTGTGTTTCTGCGAGTCGTTTTTTGGCAAGTTCGGTTCTCCGATCACACTCTGCAATAAAGGACTCCAAGTGATCCATTGCCTAGCTCAGGAAAAGCAGAGAGTTATGATGAATAATGTGTACAGTCTTGGCACCATTTGTTTGATAAGAAATACACTCCCAGGTTGGTTTCTTAAAGCCTGTAGGTTCGATGGGAAGATCTTAAACTACACTACAGCCAACACATTCATAATCACATTAAATCAAGGGGGGTTGTTAAACAGAATGATTGTGCAGAAGCATGGTCTTCTCATTTGATTTACTTGTTTATTCCCAAAATTTGTAAAAGGACCTCCAACCCTCAATAATATCACCAAGAAATTTTGAGAAAAATTAAAACACTTGGCCATAACTAATAGAGTTCTCTGAGGGATAGAAAAGGCAGAACCAAGACTAGTATCAGAGGCCCTCTTCTGGAGAGTTGTGGGAGATGCATATGATGTACTCACTGGTCTTTGTGAGCCACGTAAATATTATTCCCTCATGTTCTGAGGGTAGAGTCCCCCCTTCCACCTCAAAAACAAAACAATAGAAAAAATATTACTGAGAGCTGTGAATACATTTATTTATTGCCTACTGTCTAAAGTAGTAGGAAATCTGGTCACTATTTATCCAAAGAGAAAAAGGAAAAGAAACTCTAGAAAATCTAACTGCTTACTCTGTAAAGAGTTGGCAGGAAACAGTAAGAAAGTAATGAATAAGTTATCACATATGCTATAGTTAATTTGCCATAACTAAGCAAAGGCCAACACAACTTCAGGTACACATACAAACAGAATATCACTTTTCCAACTATCAGCCTGTGACCAGGAATAAAAACCGCCTCCTAGGTTACATCATCAGTCAGCTTGTTAGTGTCCGCATCATGTTAAATATGACAGTAAGTGCATTTAGCAGTAACGACAGGTTTAGACAGCATGATCTACTACCAAAAAATAAAGAAATGAAAATTTTAGGTGGAGATGAGAAGGCAGATGAAAGTTAGAACAACAAACCAAAGGGTGATAATCTATGTCCACCCTCCTAAAAGGGACAGGAGAGAGTAGGTCAGCTGTAAGAAAGTACTCCACGAAGACAAATATAACACGAGAATGGATCATAGAGACACTGGAGAGGGTTATGATGGCCTCCAAAGATCTTAAATATTTTTTCCAAATAAATGCATACTTGGGTATATGTCAAGACATAAAAGAGGCTCTGTGATGGTACCAAGTTTCCCAGGAACCTGGAGAAAGGTTAAAGCATCATCATTCACCGAGGCTGACTCCCAAATATCATGCCATAATGTTGGAATTCAAAAATTTACCATCACTGGTCATCCAAACTTTCTCTTGTAAACATTTCACTATGTTCAAATCAAACAACCAGGCCCTGCAGGACCTGTGGGTGGGCAGATCAGCTGCTTCTCTGCCAATTTAATGCACAGTGAGCCTTATTCACGTGATTCTACCAAAAGGTAGAATTTGAGGGCAATATGAAAATCTACAATGTGTGGGGCCAGCCCGTGGCTCACTCGGGAGAGTGTGGTGCTGATAACACCAAGGCCACGGGTTCGGATCCCACATAGGGATGGCCGGTTCGCTCACTGGCTGAGCGTGGTGCTGACAACATCAAGTCAATGGTTAAGATCCCCTTACCGGTCATCTTTAAAAAAAAAAAAAACAAATCAAACAACCAGGAAAGCAAACGAACTGGCATTTGTTTGCTTACACACATTAGCATACTGCACTTCCTGGAAAGATGAAGAGCTGGTCGCGGCTTGCCAGGTCAAAGTGCCAGTGAGCCGATAGAGGTCACTGTCGCATCTGTGCTCACCTGGGACAATGGCTCCTAACAGAGCAGCCTGAGATGCCCCAGGTTCACGTACACACTGTCCCTCTATGGTCTGCCCAAGCGATCACACACTGGAGACAGATCCAGGGCTCCACTCCAGGGGTCAAGTGGAAAACAGACACCTGACAACCCTGCCTGTGCCTTTACCAATCAAACCAATTACCTGCATCTTAAGCAGAATCAAACCGGCTATGGACTCAGATGCTGATAACCTAAAAATTAAATAGTAAACTTCAAAACAGAATAAGCAGATCATAGAAAGATGTCTGAACTGCCACGTTCTTTAAAAAGTGGCTCTCTGTTCTATTGTCTCTCTTTGTTCCCTTCAAAGTGTTTCTCAATTTGTTTAGTTCCTAAAGAGCAGATTTAAATGATAAAAAAAAAAAAAAAAAAAGGTACTCGAGTCCAAAAATTAGGGCCTAATCACAACCTGCCATTTACTAGAAGGTCACCCAACCTCTATAACCATCTCACGGTGCAGTACAGCACCAGCACACACACCTCAGTGTCCTCGTAGTATGGCCAAACACGGCAGTTCTAGCAGACCTCATTACAGCTGGAGGAGGCTGTCCCTCCTCCACACAGGACCATCTAGTGCTGTTCCCAACTCTGTCTGCCCAGCAGCAATGAAACCAGCCAGCAATCAGTGAGCCAAAGACCAGTCCATGCTGTCAGTCAGAACTGCCACAGCAAACAGGTGCACTGTGCCCTGCACACTACATACCTCAAAACAGTCGCAGAGGACTCATAGGGTCTCCATTCCACAGATGAAGAAACTGAAGTACAACTTCCAAACCACTAAGTGATGGAGTCAGGATGCAAGGACCTTTTAGTCCTTGTACTTAATCTTCACACCTCTGAGGCAGTTATTATCAGCTCAGTTTACAGATGTACAGAAGATGGTAAAATAACTTGCCCGAGGTCATGTGGGGATTCTAACCCAGAATATCTGACTGAGAAATATATAACTATTATAGTGTACATATGTTAAGACAACTGAACTAAAGAGATAAATTCTTTATATTTTCAACATGTGAACAAAGAAATGTACTGCTCTTTAACTTTTTCCACAGGCTTAATTAATATGATTAATATTGCTGGGTTTCTTTTGCTAGTTTTCAAGTTGAGAAACTTCTAATTAATTTACAGATTACCTAATAGCAAATATAACAGATCCTTTCCCTAGGGAATTTCTGGATAAAACACTCTCAAGAAATCAAGGCTGGGTGCTGGTGTGGTCAGGCTAAGGCTGCACTGGGTTAGAAAGAGCCAATGGTGAGAATTGGAAGGCATCTTCTCCCAGATAAAGCACAAGTGGATCCCAGATGGAAATGTGCTGGAAGTCTCACCCATCAGGCTCAAGTTTGGGTCCAGGCGGGAAATAAAGGCCCACAAAGAAACATCTTTTTATCTCTTTCTCATTGGTAGACCCAAGATTCATAACTTGCTCTGTTAGCAAAGACGTGAAAATGGCAACAGTCACACACCACTGATGGGGGCACTGCCCCTCTGAAGAACACTTTGGCATTATCTATCAAAATGACAAATGCACACACCTTTCTAAACCCAACAGTTTCACTTCTAGGAGTCCTTCCTAGACATACTCATAACATAGCAACATGCAATGCAGCACCTTAGCAGCACCACAGCCATCAATAAGGGCTGGTCGTACAGCACAGATACCCAGTCTTTGAAATACATGTACCCACAAAAAGGAATAAAAGGGAATAAAAAATAGGAAATAATCTCAAAGATATATTGAAAAGTTAAAAAGCAGGGGGCAAATACAGAAGACATATAGACCACCATTTGTATTTTAAAAAAGGAATACAGATATACCTTTCTCCTCTGGTATACACATCTAAAGAAGGAACTTAATTGGTTACTTCTGGGGGCAACCAGGTGGCTGATGAACAGAGCTAATGGAGGCTTTCACACCATATCTTTTGTGTCTTTTCAATTTTGAACTATACAATTGTTGTACTTATTTTAAAAATTAATGAGATGCTGCAACCCAAATGAAATAATTGATACAAGTTAATAATCCTCGGGCCGGCCTGGTGGCGCACTGTGCTGGTGCACCGCTTGGGAAGCGCGGCAGCGCTCCCGCCAAGGGTTCGGATCCCACATACAGACCGGTTCCCACTCACTGGCTGAGCGAGGCGCGGGGGCAACACCGAGGGTTGCGATCCCGTTGCCGGTCCCGGTCCGGTACGGGGGCGACACTGAGGGTTGCGATCCGTTGCCGGACACGGAAAAAAGACAAAAAAATAATAATAATCCTCAACTGCTGCTTAAAGCATTGGGCCAATGACTAATGAGGACCTTTACGATGAACAGATCAAGCTGGTTCCAATACCCAAGCCCACTGATCAACGTGCCTCCCCATATGATACAACAGGAAGAACATAACTCTCTTTCTGAAATATTCTTGTCAAAAAAAATTTAAAAATCCGATGATCAAGCTGCTAGATCTAACTCCCATGTTATAGGAAATTTCAAAGATGAGAACATGTTAAAAAGACACTAAGAATACACAATCAGCAAAATCCAGGATATAGAACACTTAGAAATTAGTTTCTTCAACAAATAGATTAAAAAAGACTTACAGGCATTCTAATGTGTGGCCCTTATTTTGGATCTTGAGTCAAACAAAAAAACTGCAAAAAAAAATCTTTTTGAGACAATCTGGGAAATTTGAACAATGACTGAATATGATGTTAAATTGTTCATAATTATGTTTAATAAAGTTCTTATCTTTTAGACATACTATTTATAGTATTTACAGATGAAAATCTATGTCAAGGAGCTACTGTAAAATAATCCAGGGGCAGAAAAATACAGAGCAGGAAAAAAGAAATAAGATAGTCTTGATGACAATAATTACTGAACACTGGAAGACAGAATCCGGAGATTTCATTATATTACTCTGCTCAATTCTATATGGTTTAAATTTTCCTTAACATATTAAAAGGAAAAAGAGAAAAACATACTAAGTAGACTCTGTTACAACCAAGTATAGTACAGTCTTTTGTACATGGAGTAAAGAGAACTTCAAAAGCTAATGACAGATCCCTGTACCAACCAGCAAACAAAAATAAAAAAGCCAATGATGGGGCCGGCCCGTGGCTCAGTCGGGAGAGTGCGGTGCTGATAACACCAAGGCCACGGGTTCGGATCCCACATAGGGATGGCCGGTTCGCTCACTGGCTGAGCGTGGTGCTGACAACACCAAGTCAAGGGTTAAGATCCCCTTACCGGTCATCTTTAAAAAAAAAAAAAAAAGCCAATGACAATGCTGAACTACTTACAGACGAAATAATAGGACATGTGAGCTCTGTCTTGAGATTTGAGAGAGAAAAGGGGGGGAAAGATGTAGAACACTTGGCCACAAGCTGATCACATCTGAAGCTGAATGATGGGTACATTATACCACTGCATCTACTTTTTATATTGGGAGTTCTCCATCAGAAACTGCCTTAATCACTGCTAAATCAAACTTTTTAGTCTTTTGTAGAAAAATATTCACTTAATTGTAGCTTTAAACTGTTTTAAAAATCCATAGTGGAAAACAATTTATATGTAATATTTCAAAGAATTTGCAGCACATGCTACCTTCTTAGAAAAATTCTAAGAACATGATGCCCTACCTGCCTTTGTTGCCACCAGAACCTTGAATTTCTGACCTACATACAGCCAATCTTTGAAATGATGATGACATGGGCCTCCAGCAAATGCTCTTTAAAAGTTTGTTAAAAAGCCCACCAACCAAGGTCAGTTTGTAATATTTAAGAATTAAGCTGTAGCTTTTAAAAAGCGTTTACTTCTTTCCATTTTAAAGCAACACGTCAGAGGCTGCCTCTGCCTCCAAAGAGCAGGATGGATACAGGGAAGAAGGCCTTTAGGTGCTTTTCATCACAGCCTCTATGCATTTTTAAAGCAAGTCCTATGAATTCTCTAATAAGCAACACATGGTCACCAAGAGCATATGAAAGTCTAAACAGAGAAATCTCTGTAGCTCTGTATTTTATATCTTTGTTTGCTCATGATATCAAAGCCATTTTAAGTCATTTAACAGGTTTCACAGACATTAGTTTCAAGAGCAGTCTATGATGTGGGTGCATTCCAATTTACTCATGTGTCTGCCTCTTCTTGGGCTTTTCTGTTGCACCCAATTCTTCAGTCTTATAAACAACCCTGCCACAAACATCTTTGCACATCAATTTTTGTGTGTATTTCCAGTTACTTTCTCAGGATAGAGATTTGTAGAAATAAGTCATAAGGTAGAAATACTTTTTAATTTTTATTTCTGCCTACTATACTAGCAATCTGACTGGACCTAATATATGCACAGTTACCTTTTTTTGTGGTGAGAATCCTTAAGATCTACTCTCAGCAAATTTCAAATACACAATATATCATTAACTATAATCACCATGCTATACAGTAGGTCTCCAGAATTTATTCACCTTATATCTGAAAGTTTGTACCCTTTGACCAACATCTCCCAATTTCCCAGCCCCCCATGGGAATTTTTTATATGCTAATATTTTAAGTTTTTACAGGGATAAATGTACCTATCTTTCTCTTTTAGCTTCTAGGCTTTATAATCTCTCGAGATAACAAAATTCATTTTGGGGAGATACAACTTGCTATTTTTCCAATCAGCCAATGCAGTTTTCAACATTGTTCACTGAACAACCCACCTATACTCCACACCGTTGAAAACACACCCTTCATAATATAGTATACTAAATTACCATGTATATTTCAGTCTCTTTCTGTAGTCTCAACTTCTTCCATTAATTTACTCCTCCTCTAGCATTAAATTAATGAGACTATTTAAAAAGTGCATTGGCATTTTGGTGCAGTAAAAATGTTAAGATTTGTGATCCAAAAAGCTATGTTACTAAAACTGAGATTTCAACCTATACATCTGTATACCTGATGTCTCAAGGCAATGACCTCTTTACATAGCATTTTCACATTACTGAAGAATTAAAATTCACAATATAGAAAACTCCCATTTTCAAGCCCCATCTGATAGTTGAGCTGTTGCTAGAAGCATTTTTGGCTAATTCAAAGATACAACACTGAGCGTACACCGAGTTGTTAAAGAATGTATTTTTAAAAGAGTTTTGATTTTAATCACTTTTAAGATTACTGGTTTAAATAGAATTCACTCTAAAATGTCATTCAGGGCAAAAAACATTTTACGTTGGGTTTTGTGTCTTTCACTGGCTCCCCCACACCATGCTCAGTCCCTTCCCAGTCTTCATTCTAGAACCTGAATAGCATCAGACTGCTCTACTGACCTCTGGTCATACTAGTGATGGAGGATTAGGGGTAAAAAAGAAATAAAACAGAATGACCCTGGGCCGGCCCAGTGGCGCACTCGGTAGAGTGCAGCGCTTAGGAGCGCAGCAGCGCTCCCGCCGAGGGTTCGGATCCCATATAGAGACCGGTCTGCTCACTAGTTGAGCACGGTGCAGGCGCGACACCGAGGGTTGCAATCCCGTTACTGGTCACGAAAAAAGACAAAAAGGAAAAAAAAACAGAATGACCCTGGGCCGGCCCAGTGGCGCACTCGGTAGAGTGCAGCGCTTAGGAGCGCAGCAGCGCTCCCGCCGAGGGTTCAGATCCCATATAGAGACCGGTCTGCTCACTAGTTGAGCACGGTGCAGGCGCGACACCGAGGGTTGCAATCCCGTTACTGGTCACGAAAAAAGACAAAAAGGAAAAAAAAACAGAATGACCCTGAATCATGCCTTCTCAACGGGGCAGGAGTAAAAACTGGTCTTGAAGGGTGAAAAAATCTTATATATTACCATGATTGGTGGCCCAGCATCACAGTACATAGAGATATGCAGGGTACTTGTGTTATCAAAATTTCCAAAAAAGGCTCTTTTGGGGGACAATAATGGAAAAAGGCTGAGAAATGCTACTCTAAATAGATTTACTAACATACATAAAATATCACAACTACTGAATTGTAAACAAATGCAAATTAAGTCCACAATGAAATGCCATTTTACAACCACTGAATTCCAAAAATTAAATAATGTGATAATGCCAGGTGCTGGTGAGGGCATATGCTCTGCTACTGGTATAAACTGATACAGCCACTTTATCAAACAATGAAGAGAAATTAGAATATTACAGAACTATTTAGCAAGGATGAATACAGACGTCCCCCCACAAGCCAGCAATTCCTTTCCTAAGAATATAAACTAGATAAATCCTTATACACGTGACCAACAAGAAATTCAAAAATATTCATAATATTGTTCACAACAGCAAAATAACTAGAATCAACCCAAATGTCTACGAATGAAGAAAGAATAGTTTGTGAAATATTCAAGCAGCAATTAAAACAAACCACGTACAAGAAGAATAGAAACATAATACTGAATGGGAAAAAAACAAGTTTTAAGACTACACTGAGACCATTTTTATAAAGCTCAAAAACAAGCAAGAATAAACACACTGTCAAGGAATCATCAAAATATGTAATGAAAAAATTTTCAAAAGCAAGGAAATGATTCATACAAAATTCAGGATAATGACACATATAAAATGGTATGGGCCACATTCCAACTTCAGCTACAGTGGCAAGATAACAAGCGTTGATTTATTTGCTTCATAATTTGCATATGTTACATTATTCTTCAGTTCACTATTTGGTTCTTTGCAGTAGGGATGAATCAACACCAGATAAAACTTACATCCAATTCAAAAAACAGGTCTCTTTCTTTACTTGCAATCTCGTAATCTGCTCGGAGAGCCAAATCGTGGATTTTGGTACATTCTCCTAAATCCATGCGCTGTGGGGGGAAAAAAAAGTGTATGCATGAACACCTACCCATTGTAGAAAGCATGTCATATGATCTGGTATTTCAACTGTCATCAAAATAAACATCTTCTTGAATACTAAAACAATGGTAAGAAAATTAAGGCTGAGAAGCCTTATTTCTCTTATTACCACCATGATTAAATAATACTCATACTTGGAACTGATGCACTTAACGGTGTAAAGGTTTTTTTAATCTCTTTTAGACCCAGGGATAATTAGACCATAATCATGAAAACCACATTAATTAGCTTTCGTCAGTTTTATTTCTGTATCAGTCTAAGCACTCAGTAAACAGCAGCATGAGGGCGGGGGGTAGGGGGGAGGGAAGTTGGGAAAGAAAGGGCCAGAAAAGAGTATAGCTACAAGTTTCCAGACATTACTTTTGCAACCCTGACTACTCAAGATGTTCAATGCTTAAGATGCAGAGACAAGAAAAGGAAATGGAGGGAGCAGATAGAAATCAGATTTTGGCAGTTTCAACACAACCTAACACTTGGCTTTGTGTAGTTCTTTGTACAGCAAAGGGAATAAAGCAGAATAGGCAGATTCAGAGCCAGATGAATCCTCTCAACATTCTCCTAACCTGGTAAAATGACCCTGGATATATAATTGGTGACACGTAACTGGGCGACTTGGTCGCCCATCTAAAACAGAATAAGTGTTGTCAGTAAGATTAGCTTGATGCACTATTACATGTTCTATCCACATGTAGAACTAGCAGACAACAGTGCATGTTTCTTACCTAAATCCTTAGCACAAGACTCTATGCAGGCACATCCCGCCTTTGGCCATCTACACAGCAATAGGGAAGTTTGTATGCTGAGGATCGTGGTATCAACTTCTAAAGTGCATGTTAACAAACCTCAACATCCCAACCAAGAGACACTCCCAGTGGGACAAAAACACACATCTACATAACTAGTACAAAAAGAACATCAGAGTCCAGGAACTCCTTCAAACTCAAAGTACAACTGTGTTCAAAACTATTTCAAAAACTTTGTAGATTATAAAGTCCTTAACATTCTAGGCAAATTAGAGAGGACTGCAGGGATGGCCGGTTAGCTCAGATGGTTAGAGCACAGCCTTATAACCCAAAGTCACAGGTTCAGATCCCTGTACAGGCCAGCCACCCCCGCAAAATAAATTACTTAAAATAAAAAAAAAGAGAGAGGCATGTAGTGCCTGACTCCTGGGCCATAGTCTCATGAAAAGTGTGTGCCATGCTCACTAACAAAATATTCTTCAGTATCACCAGCGACAGAGCCAACACTGGACTAGGCAGACAACTAAATGAAACACCTAGTGTGGAGTTTATCTTCATTTTGACCAAAGATCGACTTTTCTCCATTATTCTTCCTCTGAAGTCAGATGTAGCTCATGTTATATTGGTTACATGAGGGATCCGGAGGCAGAGCAATAGTGGTTCTAGAAGCCCAAGTTGCAACCAAAATCACTGTCCCTGTAAACCTGACAACTTTTGCTTCACACTTCTAAGTAACAGGTACTGTTCTTTAAAATAAATAGTTTCCACAAATAAAACTAAATGTTATAGCTGAAAAGTGAGTGGTAGCTATCAGAAAAAAAATGCTTTAAGCCAATGAAGGCTCTGTTGTTCAAAGAAAAAACCACCACCAACGGAAGTAAGCACTAAAATCTTAAGTACAATTTGATTTCCATTCTAAAAACTGTCAAGGAAGGTTTGACATTAGAAAACCTCCCATGACCCAAGGCCCCAGGTTCGGATCCCATATAGGGATGGCCGGTTCGCTCACTGGCTGAGCGTGATGCTGACAACACCAAGTTAAGGGTTGAGATCCCCTTACCGGTCATCTTTAAAAAAAAAAAAAAACCTCCCATGAAGCAAAAAATTCACCACTATATTCTGTGATGAGAGCTCTCAGAACAGTTGCTGCTAAAGGAAACAGGACAAGCTTGTGTTCCACCATTACCCTTTTTTTTTTTTCCATTTTCAGTCACAGAACTTTATTTTTAAACCAATTTTAAGTTCCCAAAGTTTAAAGTTCAAAAAACAAAAATGAAACAAAAAGAATGTAAACAGCCACAGTTGTCTATATGCTGCTTGTTCTACTGGCCAAAGAGGAATTCTACTAAATGTCAAACAAAGAAAGTCTCTGGACTAGAGTCACGTTAAAGAGCCCTGCTGCTGTTGTGGTGGGTGGTGGTTGGCTTTCCTAGAGGAATCCATCTGTGATTTTCTCATTTTCTCTTAACTATCAAAGCACCCCTCTTCCTAGAGGAAAAGGTTAGTAATAAATATTTATGTATAGTGTACAAGGATACTTCAAAAAGCGAATGGAAAAGATGGAATTAATAGATAATATGCTCCATACCAGACAGCCACCAAACACAAAAGATATGAATCTTTCCATGAACTTTTTGAAGACCCCTCATATTATCTACTACTGTCCCCCACTACCATCTCAGAAAATCTTATTAAATATAAAAGTGAACTGCTTAATGAAATAGTGCCTGTCGGGGCCGGCCCGGTGGCGCACTGCTACAGTGCGCCGCTTGGGAAGCGCGGTGGCGCTCCCACCGAGGGTTCGGATCCCACATACAGACCGGCCACTCACTGGCTGAGCGAGGTGCAGGAGCAACACCGAGGGTTGCGATCCCGTTGCCGGTCCCGGTCTGGTACGGGCGCGACACTGAGGGTTGCGATCCGTTGCCGGTCACGAAAAAAGACAAAAAGGAAAAAAAAAAAAAAAAAAAGAAATAGTGCTTGTCAATAGTGACTTGACAATTATTGAATGATTAACACCTTAAACTTTATCTCCACTTGTTACTCTCCCATCTCAGAAACTTATGAACTTGATTAAACCCCACTGTTTACTAGTTTGATAACTATTTCAAACAGGGCTAGCAGAAAAACTAACTCATAAGGCTTATGACATAAGCTCTCAGGCATCCTAAAACTTTATCTGGGTCAAAATAAGTTACCTATACAAATTCTACCCCACAACCTAGCTCTGAAAAAATATGGAGAATCAGGGGAAAAAAGAGAGAAGTCAGCACCTATAACACACTGCCTGCCACTCCTTTTGCATCTATGCCTAGCCAGCACTTTATTTTTCAGCTTGTTTCACTTTTCCTTGATCTTCTACTTTCTTAATGGCTGCTTGGATAGCCTCTTGGTCACCCAGGAACTGGTGAGGCCCAACAGAACACAAGTTTTCATCCAGTTCTAGGAGAATGGGAACTCCAGTAGGAAGAGTGATGTTGATAATGTCTTCATCTGAGATACCTTCCAGATGTTTCAGGAGTGCCCTAGTGCTATTTCCATGAGCAGATATCAGAATGGTTTTTCCATTTAATACTTCAGGAACAATCCTTTCATTCCAATAGGGAAGGAGTCTCTCCAGTACATCCTTTAAGCTTTCAGATCGTGGCAGTTGATTCAAGGGTACATGGCATACTTTATACCTCCGGTCATTGTAGATTTCATGGTAGTAAGGATGAGATTCGTCAATGGGAGGTGGAGTCACGTTGTAGCTTCTTCTCCAGAGCCTCACTTGTTCTTCACCATGTTTCAAAGCCATTTTCTCCCTGTTAAGACCGATCAAGGCTCCATAGTGACGCTCATTTAGACGCCAGGAGCTTTCCACGGGAACCCATTCCTGCCCCAACTCTTCCAGGATCAGCCAGGCTGTGTGGATGGACCAATTGAGGACAGATGTAAATACAAGATCAAATTCAAAATTTAGTGCTTTGAGTTGCTTCCCACAGTTCCGAGCTTCCTCCATTCCTTCACCGTTAAGTTTCTGATCCACCCAACTACAAAAACGATTCTCCTTATTCCAAGAACCCTCTCCATGTCTTAACATAATGAGTTTGTACTTGGACATGGCTGAGCTTCCCTTGTGTCTTCAAATGGTCTAATGTTCAAGGACAGCAATGCATCTGCAAAGAGGCCACCAGCAGCCGCTCCTCGGGGCCGCCGAACGGCCGGCGCCTCCAACGACTCATCCCCACCATTACCCTCTTTGAATGTACCTTTTCAGCTCTGCCTAGGAGGTAGGGAAGTACTGGCTATTCCCCTGACAGCCTAACACCATGCAGAGCTGAAATAACACATCCATTATGGGGAAATACTACGTTTTCCCATAAGCCTCAATAAAATGATCACTTCCATTCCTCCTTGACCTACCTGCTACTAATGACTAGAGATGGTTTGAGCAAAAACTTGGACATGGAGCAGTCCTTACTTAGCAGGCTAAGGATTATAGCCACTTTTATTTTGTTGCTATATTCTAAAGAACTATAGTCATTCAACTTCAATTTATCACAAACTCCACAGAAGAGCTATCCATTTGACTACCCCTCACCTCCAGGTAGCCCACGACAGCAAGGCTCAACCTCTACAGCCACCCCCATTTGAATTCCCAAGCCAAGTGACTGGCAACCCCTGATGTTTTGCTCACTCGCACTCATGAAGCACTTTCTGCACATGCACATGGGTCTCCTGGGCTGCTTCTTCCCTCGCCAGCTTCCTCTCAAATTCCCTTTGAGCTTTTCTGCCCAATCCCAAACCCTGGAGTTACCTTGCCCAGTCCACAGCTTCTCATTACTCATTTGTTTCCATAGCCTCTGCCTTCCTCTTCCCCTTACACCAGTCCAGACACACTAGCAGCATGCCTTCTGCCCCTCGGTTCTCTCCTCCACCAGGAGCACTGTACCCCAAACTTCACGCATGCTTTCTCACCATTCAGGTCTCTGCTCAAATGTCCAAGAGGTCCTTCCTCATTACCCTATCTAAAACAGCTTATTATCTATTCATTTATTTATTTACTGTCCCATCCTCTTCCCCCACTACATGAGAGTAAAGATTTCATTATTGGGGGCCGGCCCGGTGGCGCACTGGATAGTGCGCTGCTTGGGAAGCGCAGCGGCGCTCCCGCCCGAGGGTTCGGATCCCA